GATAATGTTGAACACGAAATGATAGATATTTGCTGTTATAATGTTTAATTTACCTTTAAGTTCCGTTACTAGATAGTAAATTAGGTGATTAGAGCCATTTTTTTGTCAGACATCGACTAAACAAAAGAGAATTATACACAGTTTAAGAAACGGAACTCCCCTTTGAAAAATCCTGGATCCACCACTGCCAGTCGCAAATAGTGTACAAAAGTTTCGGATGTCCCGTCTCTCTACACGCCATTATTACTAACCAACATCGGAGGGACGTAAAAGAACCACTGAAGACGTAAAGCAACCCTGGCAGTGACCATCCTCAGTGCCTACACTTCATACTAACCATCTCTCATGATTGTAAGCGCCTTTGAATATGTACACAGAGAGGGCGCTATATAAATCATAAATTGTTACAATCATTTATAAACGACCACATCAGCAGAGCTGTAATATCAATATCGTGTCTAAATAAATATAATTATTATTATCATCATCATCATCATCATTATTACTATTATTATTAATATTGTTATTACAAAAATATTACAGAATGTGTGGAGTATACAATCTTGACCTCAAATAAAAAACGTAACGCACAAAAGTATGAACACATTTCATGCATTCGCATACTTCTATAAACACGCTTCCGTACGCGGAGAAACCAATACCATTTCGATGCGAAGCAGTATGCACAGTCAATTTATTCTCGACTTCACTTTCACGTTTTACTAACATTGTTCTTTCAAATTGCAGCTGCATAAGTTGCTTCATATACTGCGAGGATCAGCTCAATTTGATACATTACAACCGCAGTACAAATATATTTCATATATAATCTCGTACACATATATATTGGTCACCCTGTGTATGACTCTTGCACCTAACTCTTTAATAGACTTTTCAAAGTCGATTATTAATGTATAGTGTTATACTAAAGATCATCCTGTTTGTTGTTAGATCATAATGACTGTAATCCTGATCCGTGTAAGAATGGTGCACCTTGTATTGATAAACTCAACGATTACTACTGCGACTGCAAACCAGGGTTTGAAGGAAAGGATTGCGAGACAAGTAAGATATGACGCTGAATATAGATTTATTTTATGTCACAATCATCATTATTATTATCATTATTATCATCACCATCACCATATATCATCATCATCATCATTATCATCATTATTACGTTATCACAACATTACCAACATCAACACCATCATCATCGTCATCGTCATCATCACCATAATCATCATCATCGTCATCACTGACATCATCATTATCGTCACCATTAACATCACCGTCATCGTCATCATTAACATCACCACCATCGTCATCATCACCATCATCTTCATCATTAACATCACCATCATCGCCATCATCATCGTCATCATCACCATCATCATCCGGCACCATTCTCATTATCATCATCATCGTCGTCATCATCATTACCATCATCACCATCATCATCATCACCATCATCATCCGGCAACATTCTCATCATCATCATCACCATCATCTTTCAATCAATCCAAATTTAAATACCATTTCCTCAACGTATTTCAGACCACAACGACTGCAGCCCTAACCCATGCAAAAACGGTGCAACCTGCAAAGACCTAGTCAATAACTATCATTGCGAGTGTATTCCAGGGTACGAGGGAAGAAACTGCCATATTGGTGAGTGAGCTCAAAGACCTGCTTAGCTTGGACGTAATTTCCCATTTCTTACCAAGTGTCACTATCTTGAGCAAAATAGTTATTTGTTTGAATTGTATCCATATTCGTGTATCTATCCCGAGTAAATGGTGTTGCCGTTCAGCTATAAATAATTTTAGCACGATTTATGACGAAACCAGAATAAGATTAAATAGTATTTTCCACTTTGAACATGCACAAGTAGCCCGAGTAAATAATGTTGCCATTCAGCTAAATAATTTTAGTGCGATTTATGACGAAACCAGAGAAGATTAAATAGTATTTTCTACTTTGAACATGCACAAGTAGCCCCAGTAAATAGTGTTGCCATTCAACTAAATAATTTTAGTGCGATTTATGACGAAACCAGAGAAGATTAAATAGTATTTTCTACTTTCAACATGCACAAGGAGCCCGAGTAAATAGTGTTGCCATTCAGCTAAATAATTTTAGTGCGATTCATGACGAAACCAGAGAAAGACTAAATAGTATTTTCCACTTTGAACATGCACAAGGAGCCCGAGTAAATAGTGTTGAAGCAATGCTGAATAATTTTACCTTTTCTTTGGATCGACAGATAAGGATGATTGCAAAGACAACCCATGTAAAAACGGCGGCTTGTGCAAGGATCTCGTGAATGACTATGAGTGTCAGTGTAAACCAGGATGGGAAGGAAAGGACTGTGAACAAAGTAAGTTCAAATAGTCACGTGCACTTTTCACGCCAAGAATGCTTCATGAAAATGAGATCATCTTGTAGTGTCCTCAAACTTATGTCAAGGGGTTAAATTTTGTCTAAAGCTGGCGATACACGGTGCAATTTATTCTCGCGCTGGCAACGCAATTTCACATTTTTGTTGCAGCGAAAAATTGCAACGTCTACCTTGCAACACTAAACTTTACAGTTGGGATCCCTGTGTGCTGTATGCCATAAAAATCTCGATTGTGTGGTATATATGAAATACCTAACCGTTAGGAGATCGTTTCGTG